CGATTCCGATCAATTTCTAAAAAAGTCATCCGCCATATTGGATCCGCCATTTGGAATTTTGTAAAACTAACATCGGATTCGTCGGCCGCTGTGGTGTAGTGGTAAGCAGTGCGCGCTTCCACTCCGCAAAAAAGAAAAAAGGTTTTTTCTTAACAGCGGTCGTCCCTCGGCAGGCAATGGCAGACCTCCGAGTGTATTTCGGCCATGAAAAACAGTTTCTCATAAAAATACAATCGCCGTTCGGAGTCGGCGTAAAACTGTAGGTCCCTCCGCTTTGTGTGACAACATCAAGCGCACGCCACAAATCGGAGAAGAAGCTCGGCGAAACACTAACATATGTGTAAGCGCCAATCTATCTATTATTAACATCGGATTCGTAATCAACGGCCCCGAAAACCCCCGAGTAACGAGTTTCAATCCATTGAAACGTGCAGAAGCATCAAAATCAACTTGGTAAACTTCAAAGTCGTTTTTCTCGATATCGGAGAACACCAAAGGCCCTAATCAGATTTCTTTTTTCTAGACTTCAGCTGGGATCGTAACCACATCATCGATGTACAAAGTCAGAAGCGTTAACCACTGAGCTATGCACACCCCGCAAACTCGTGTTGCTAATTCATTTTTCCTTATTCAACCTAATGGTAGAAAAAAGAAGTCTGATGAGGTGATGTGGTGATATCCGAAATAGCTGTTATAACTTCTACCGCTTAGACTTTGTTGCTTTTTCCATTTCGCATAACAAAATAATCATGGTACAAAGCTCAATTACAATATTTTCAAAAATTAAATGTTAATAAGCCACAATAACATTGACAAATTATTAAATTTTATTTTATTAAATTTCGTTTTTTACCCTTTTTGCTTATGGTATTTCATATAATTATTTCGTTATTAATCAAATTCTTTGGAGTTTAAATTTAATTAAAAGGTCACAACAACTATGATTAAGTAAAAAAAAAAATCAAAGTAATATTTAAAAGAACAAAGGAAGATTTAAAAAAATTTTCCCTGGCAGTGGTATTCGAAACCACGACTTCCCGGCTTACTAAATCCGCAATCCTGCAGCGGACACATATGGAGCACTGTTCTCTCTCATCTTAACAAAAAGTAATTTTTAAGATGTCTATGATTGACAGAGCTTAAAAACCTGTTCTAAACTTAAAACTGTATTTTAACAAGAATGAGTTTTAACTTGCGACTATGACTATGGGCCAATGAATTTAAGAAGGCTGTTCAGAATGCTGGGGAGATGGTCTTGGACTTGCAAATTTTATGCTTGTTGCAAATTGTATGCTGTTTGCATTGTATTGTTGTGAATTTACAAATGCAACGAATATGCAAATGCAAGAGCATATGCACAAGATCCTGAACAGCCCTAGGGTTTTAAATTGAGGCAACTTACTGTCTTAACATATCACTTTCAAAATGGCACCAAGGCAATCAGATCGATCTGTACCCAATGTAAATGAAGCGGCAAAATAAAACTGAGTTGTCAAACTACGAAATTACAGCTGGTGTTAAGACGGCGATTTAAAAAAAAATCTACAAGACAAATATGGTTTAACAGTGGTCTCCACCTGACATTTCTGTCTTACCACCGCTTTTTTAACAGAATCTGTAGAAGGTGGAGACGTGCGGTAGAGGCCCCGCCGGATAGAAATAAAAATCACAGGGATGCTTTTGACTGACATCCAAGTTAATTCTGTGATTTTGCATAGAAAACGCTATATTGGCAACACATGCATTGCCGCAGCTGATAAAATTCTCCAAACTCTCAACTTTGCAACATTTTAAAAAAGGGGTGGCCAAAACACACACAATCATATATTTCAGTTTTGCTAAACGATGAGAGAATAAAGAGAATAAGTCGCTCACGCATCTGATGCAAGCAGTGTTGTCAACGATTTCGAGTTGCAAATTTTAAGAAAAAGAGATTTTTTATACCCGAGCGCACTTGTGCACAAGGGTATTATAACTTTGTTCACATAACGGTTGTTTGTAACAGGCAAAACGAATCGAGATAGATATAGACAAATGTATGCATAAATGATCAGAATGAAAAGAGAAATCGATTAAGCGGTGACTGTCTGTCCGTCCGTCTGTCCGTCCGTCTGTGCACACGATAACTCGAGTAAAAATTAAGATATCTTAACGAAACTTGGTACGTGTACTTCTTTCGGGCGTAGGACGGATGGTATTGAAAATGGGCAAAATCGGATAATAACCACGCCTACCTCCCATATAACGGTAATTTTCAGAAATACAAAAACTGCGATATTTTAGTAACTACTGAAGATAATTCACTCAAAATTGGTATTTATAATAAATTTTAGACGAAAAATAAGAATATTAACATTTTTTTGAAAATGGGCGTAGCCACGCCCACTTATGGTTACATGTGTATATCTTGGTAACCGCTGCATCAATGTATTCCAAACTTGGCACAGTTGTTGGCCCTGGTACAGCATACCAAATGGCCGAAAATTTTTAAAATCGGACAATAACCACGCCCACATCCCATATAACGGTAATTTCGAGAAATACGAAATCCTCGATAAATCAGTAAATATTAAAGCTAATTTATTCAAAATGATGGTTGCAACAATTCTTTGCCAGGAAATACGTTTATGATAAAATTTTGGAAAATGGGCGTGGCACCGCCCACTTATGATCACGTATATGTATCTCGCTAACCGTTCTAGCAATTTGTACCAAACTCGGTATGGTTATTGTGCTTGCCACATAAAAGTAAACCATTGAAAATTGTTGAAACCGGACTAAAATTACGGCCGCTTTTCATATAACGGTAAATTTCAGAAATGCTTGAAATTTCAATATTTTGAAATTTAAGGACGCTAGTTTACTTAAAATTTATACACGCCGGCTTATCATGTAGCGGTAGCTTTCGGAGAGGTGGAAAACATATATTTAATACTTGCGCCGGGTATTTAATGTTCGGCTCCGCCCGAACTTAGACTTTCTTACTTGTTTATTATGTAAATAGTGTGAAGCGCTTATTGCTTGACATCTATTGCGGGCAGTTCGATAGTTTGACAGCGTGCTGGTGGTAACAACGATGGAATTTTGATATTAAATCAAAATAAAAATGTGTTCCCTATTTGAATATTTATGATTATGTTTTAGGAAATTTTTCAGCAAGTTTTTTAAAGATCAAAACCCAACAGAATTCTACATGTGAAGTGCTATGCGTTGGGTAACCGCTAACACGCAAAGCCCATTTAACAGATTCTTATGTGACAACTCCCATGCAACGCTAAGCATGCATAACTGGGCTATTAGCCATTTCTTGTACGTCGTTTCATATGGAGTGTTTGCTTTTCTTGAGGGCTGCATAGTGGCCTGTAACTGGCCGTCTCCACAGGATAAAATTTATTGCTGCCCAGCTGTCATTTTGGTCGCTAGATATAAGTTATATCAGTGGCAATATTTGTTTTGGCTTTTTATATCTTGATATAAGCTTTTGTATGATAGCTTTGAAAATGTATTTTTGCCATATTTAATCGCTTAAAAAATTTTGAAAATAGGCCATTTTACATCCAAGTACATAATTACAAACTTTTTTAACAGGAAACAGCAAAATTTTTGCTTTTATATTAAAATAATAATGATGTTGCAGCCACGAAGTTCTCGTGCAAATGAAAATGTAGCAGTCAAACTACCAAACTGCCGGCAATAGATGGCAAGATATTAGCTCTGATATATATTGCCCTTGAAGAGCAATGAGCGGTCTCCATTGGCTATTTATATTCTAACATATGTATCAACATATAAACTTTATCTTGTGGAGACGGGCAGTAAAGAAAGTCACACAAACCTAAATTACACTGAAGACACACAATCAATTTTGCCTTTAAATTTTCTCACATACATTGCTGATCAAAAATCCATGAACCAAACATACAAGATCAAGCTTTGGTTTCCACGAACAGCGGTGCCGTAATATTACGATCAAGGCGTATTTAACCAGGTGGTGTTAGCCGCTTATATACATAAGTAAAAAATAATAATAACAAATTATACGCAGATATCCATACTGTCATTGGTATCAGTTACACCAAACACATCATTTTGACGTAATGCCCTCCACTTCGAAAAACTCAGCTGTCGCTCCAACACCACCTTGACAAATACACCTCGATTACGACCGTATCATACCGAACGCTATTCTTAACGCTAATAGCGGTATAGCTTTTATTTAAAGTTAAATGAACGTAACGTAGCCATGTGCTTTTACGTTGTATAGGCATTCATGCTTTCACAAAGTTTATTAGGACTTCATCCTCTTCGGCTGTCCATTCACTTTCCACTTTATTATTCAAAATGGATAGAAATGTATATTTAATGCTTTTGGTCTAAAGAATTGTTAAAAAAAATTGTATATACCGCTACAAAATTAACGTTGCCAAGAAACAACAAAACACGTTTTAAAGAATTTTAATAAATAATTCTGCGTAAATTTATGTGTTTAAAGTGGCTGACAATAATGTTGGTCGACTTTGGTTTTCGATGTTTTGTTTACGTTGTTTACTCTTCGTTCGTTTTCCAGCCAAACAAGATGGCCTAGAACCCGCTCAAAAATCAAGTGTTTTCATTCTCTTGTTCTTGCGAGACTTCCTGTCGTTCCTATTTTTAGTTCACGTGAAGTTGGGAGCTAGCCAACTTTTGACTCAACTTATCGCCTCTAAAATTAAAATGAAATGAAAGCAAGTGTCCCACATGAACGTACGACACAAGAAAAGAGAGTGAGAAAAGTCGATTTTTTAAGCGGGTTCTATGATGTCAAATGCCCAGTCAACAAAACTATCTCGCTTGCGATAGAAAGAAGCAGAACGCGAGATGTTCAAGCAAGTGAAGGCAGCCTGTGAATGAGGTGAAATTATTTGCAGTCTGGCATCTTCGCAGTAGTCCTTGCTTTCGGGACATCTCCGATATTTTCGATAATTGCCGGCAAGGCTGGACTTTTTATCCGATTGCGTCGCCATTTTTGCAGCCCACGACAGCAGTATTGATTCGGTGAGCTTCTTGTTCGGTTAATATATATTTTACTTTGCAGACAAAATATACAAAGGAAATTATTCCATTTGTAATTTGTATAAAAAGTTCAGAAAATTAAGCTTCAAGACCATAACATTAAAGTTTTACAGAAATGGCTGATGTAGAGAATGGAAATTCAAACGGAAATTATAATGATGAGGTAAGCACATTTTCTTTTAATATCACAATTTTTTTTTTATCTCGTATATAATGTACATATTTTCTCTTAGCACTAAATTACACAAAATATCGTAAATAAAAAGGGGGTAGAAACCTTAGAAATCTATGCAAATGCTGCGTCATTGGTAAGCGTCACATGGCAAACAAAATGGCGGATGTTGGTTTGGTTGTCGTGTGATTTTTCTCGAACGCATGCATTCATATCAGATGGAAAAAATGTGCCTATATGCAAGTCAATTTGCCAATAAATAAAAAATCGTTGATGTACCATTTCTTTTACAGTACTTATTGCATATCGTCGCCTGTGTAAAAGATTGTCGTAAGCGCCATTTTAACGATTTTTGGTTCTAGATGCAGTTATATGTTTTGAAATAAGGTCTTTCGATTGGTGGACAAATGGCGCTTACGACAAAATTTTACTAAAGAAAATCCTTCATAAACTGAAAACTAATTACCAATAAACATTAAAAATTAAATAATTTAGCAGTTTTGTGAACTAGTAACATTTTTAGACTTTGGAGAAAATCTCCGCGTTTTTGAGAAATTAATATACGACATTTTTTATCCATGACGACGACGATATGTACATATAAGAAAAATAGAAATCTCACGGGAACCTCATTCTTGCATGAAGAGTTCGCTTAATAGAAAGATCCTTATATAATGAATTATCAGAAAAAATATATTGAAATTATAACTTTTGAGTCGGGCTTTCTCAACTTTCCCACCCAAAGTTGACTTCGTTTTTTTTTTTGTTTCGTTGATCGGTTTTGAATGTTAACAATGGCGTGCATTATTGACCCCAAAGATTTTGCGATCATTTTATTTTTTTGACGAGTTATTTGCAACCAAATTTTTATGCAGGCTTTTACACTTCTTAAAATATTTCAGCAACCATTCATTCGAATCTTATGATTTATTTTGCGGCAGTTAGAGAACTTATCGAGCAACAAAATAAAGTGGTCAGTTTGTAAAACTTCGATTCTTGTTTTATAAAAAATTTTTAAATAAATTATTTTTTTTACCAAATTCTCATACCTATACCTAGGAAAAGAATTCAAAAAGCATTAAAAAAAGCATAAAGAAATTACTGTACCTTTGATTGGCTTTAAGCTTCTTAGCAAAAAAATGGAAAAAGTTAAAAAAAAAAATATAATACAAATGGACTCAAAGCAAAAAATAAAATTTTCAAAATTAAGTATCAAATCAGAATTATCAAATTATAATTTTTTTTACACTTCACTTACTATATTATAATTTTTTAAACAGTGGTGATTTAAAAATGGAAAATTCATAAAAATAGTTCATTGGTATATTGAGTATTTAAAATATGCAATGTATATGGTTGCAATGTGTCGCAACTCTGTATATACAAACAGTTTGAACACCGCAGTATAACAGTTTCCAAACATTGCATTGATACGTTTTGAAAGCCAGCCTTTTCCTAGATACATATATGAGAAGTTGGAAAAAAAATTCAATTAATTAAAAAAAGATAATTTTTCGCAAAAGAATTGAAATTTTACAAACTGACGCCTTTATTTTGTTGCCCGATAAGTTCTCTCACTGCTGTTAAAAAATCATAAGATTCGAATGAATGGTTGATAAAATATTTCAAAAAGTGTAAAAGCCTGCTTAAAAGTTTGTATGCAAATAACTCGTGAAAAATAGTAAAATTGGCGCAAATCTATGATGTCAATATTGCAAAGAATGTTAACTTTCAAAATCGGTAAATGAAACATAAAGAATCGAAAAGTCTACTCTGGGTGGCCCAATTGAGAAAACTTGACTCTTTACAAAACAAATATAATAGGTAGTAATTGTATAAGAGCAGCACACGTCTCTATAGCCAGATTATTTCTGTTTTCCTGCCTTCGGCGCTAGAGCCGAAACGGCTTTAAAAAAATTGACAGTGTCTACACACATGTGCCACGGTAATTTTCACCGTGGATCTACGGTAATTTTCACCATGGATATAAGGTAATTTTTACCGTGGTTACGGTAAAAGTTACTGTGACGCGTATAAGTAGACACTCCCTAAAAAAATTTTATTATCCAGTCTCTGTCTTAATTCTTGGCAAAATTTAACATCAAATTGTAAGCATTTAATTTAAAATTTTTAATTTCTGTTTTATGATGTCTCGGCATCTGATCCACTAAAATATCGATAACGAATATATGATTATTTAAATCTTAAGTATATATTAAATGAGATTCAATTTTTAATTGCGCACTTAACTAAGCAAAAATAGTGCCGAAAATCAATCGATTGTGCTTAAGGTGCGGGCTGCTTCCGAAATGGCTGAAAATTGCACAATGCACACTTATTTTCCATCACTGATTAATATTCTAAATCTTAAGTATAATTGTTTTAATGGAGGTATAGTTTTAGCAGGGCCAAATAATTCTTTATGTGTGAAACAGTTTGAGTAATTGAAATACCAAAAAAAAATTTTGTTTTCTAAAACAAGTTCTTTAAACTGTTTTCTTATACTCAAAACTGCACTCAACGATATGCTAACACATTTTGCGATATTTCAGCCCATTACTGAACCGGAACAGTTAAGGAAGCTCTTTATCGGTGGTTTAGACTACCGCACTACTGACGATGGCTTGAAAGCTCACTTTGAAAAATGGGGTAACATCGTCGACGTGGTTGTAATGAAGGATCCCAAGACAAAGCGTTCACGAGGTTTTGGTTTTATTACCTACTCTCAGTCTTATATGATTGACAATGCCCAAAACGCACGCCCTCATAAAATCGATGGGCGTACAGTAGAACCCAAGCGGGCCGTACCACGCCAAGAAATTGACAGCCCAAATGCAGGCGCCACTGTTAAGAAATTATTCGTTGGCGGTCTTCGCGACGATCATGACGAGGAATGTTTACGCGAATATTTCAAGTCATATGGTAACATTGTTGGAATAAACATAGTTGCAGACAAAGAAACTGGGAAGAAACGTGGATTCGCATTTATCGAATTTGATGATTATGACCCTGTCGACAAAATTATTTTGCAAAAAAATCATACCATAAAAAATAAGGTCCTTGATGTCAAGAAAGCCATTGCTAAACAGGCATGTTTTGAAATTAACGTTTTTAGGGAATTTAATTTAACAAAATATTCTTCCAAAATAGGATATGGATCGCCAAGGTGGTGGTGGCGGCGGAGGTGGTGGCAGCGGTGGTGGTGGTAGTGGTGGTGGACGTGCCCAAGGCGGCCGTGGTGGCGGACGTGGTGGCGAACGTAGTAGTCAAGGATGGGGAGGAAACAACAGACAGAATGGAGGAAATTGGGGCGGAAGTGGTTTTGGAAATAATGGGAACTTTGGTGGAAACCAAGGGGGTCCCGGTGGTGGTCCAGGCGGTTGGAATAATCAGCCGGCACCTTGGAACAACCCAGCTACAAATGATGGCGGGTGGAATAATAGTGGCGGATTTGGTGGGCCGGCTAATACCTCCAATAATGGATGGAGTAGCAACAATAGTAGTTTTGGTAGTGATTACCAACAGGGTTACGGTGGAGGACCCCAGAGGGGGGGTAATAATTTTGGAAATACCCGCGCCGCTCCTTACAATCAATACAACAAAGGTAAAAACCGATATTAAATAACTTGAAAAAGTAAATAGCTGTAAAAATGTTTGGTTAAAGGTGGCAATACTGGTGGTGGCCAAGGCGGTGGTTTTGGCGGTAATAACTACAATAGCGGTGGTGGCCCGGGAGGCGGCAACATGGGCGGCGGAAACCGAAGATATTAAACTTGGAGGTAAGGAATTATTGCATTGTAGTATTGCATTTCAGTTATCCTTACAGTAGCGGTTTCATTCGTATATAAAGCTTTATAACGTATTATTTCCCAAGTTGCAATTTATGTTTAAAATCTTTTTCGTTTAAAAAAAAGTGGCAAAATATTGCTACGTGACTATAGTAATAAGTACATACTAAACCAATTTAATTAAACCAATTTTTCTTTCTTAAACATAGGTAAAGTACATAGTACTATACAGTTTCAATCAGAGAAAGACAGGCAGTCTAGGCACAGGCAGGCAGGCAGAAAGAGAATTGAAATCAGATGAAATAAATATTGCAGACAACTGCAGTTCAACCGCTAAACTATCTACATTTGTATAGGCAAATAAGGAAATTTATACAGATAAAAAATTTATTTCACATTCACACGAGTACGAAGGAAACAGAATACATAACCGAATCTTGTAGTGAACGTATTTTTAATGTAATCCACTACATAAACCAAAACATGCTATAGAATATCCACAAAGGAAAGAAGTATGCGAACAATGCATACATTTGATAATTTTACATGTTCTGTGTATTTAAAAACACCTGTCTTATCTTTCGGGTCTTTAATTTAATTTTACTTGTAAGACATTTATAAGTTTTCATACAAGCATTTAATAATTAAAAGTATTAAAAATAATACAGAGCAACTTTGAGCCAATTTAGACAAAAATAAAAATGATGGAAAACTAGACCTACTTGACAAACAAAATGAGTTACCCCAATAAATCTAGTTATAGTTTTAAATTATAAACAAAAATAAATTATGTAAGCGTGAAATCAAGAAATACTTCTATTCAAAAAAATTGAATTGTATCATCACAGATTCTCTAAATAGGGGTGCGTTCAGAAATGCATCATGCCAAAGCATCAGTATCTTTTATTTCTAAACTATTATTGATGGAAATGTCTTATTTACGGAATTAAGTTCAAATTCAGCTTTTAAACGTGGTTGCGCATATTTGACATTTCCATAAGTTATAGTTTAGAAATAACACGAGACTGATGCTTTGGCTTGATGCATTTCTGAACGCACCCTAGAAATTGTCAATACTACAATCCCCTCGAGTGAGTGAACATCAAAAAAACGACGTTTTTTCTAAGATAGCGCAGTGACAACAAGCTATACTGCATACTCTAACCAATGATTAAAACAACAATGATTACAAAAGGGCTTTTAATAAACTTAGCTTGAGATGAAGCACCTTATTAAATTTGCAACAAGTACCCTAGAAAAACGCTTACAAGAGTTACTAATTATTATATACATATTTTTTACAAGACTTGATGTGCAAAGTGTGCACTAAACTACCTTATCTGAACTTTGTCAAAATGGGGACAAATCGGAAATCTGGCTCTTTTGGAGGACACCGCATTCCGTTCTACATGTTAACGTGACTGCTGGAGTTGGCACTAATAACAGGTAGGTTGATTAAAAAATTGAATTCCTATGAAGTTGCTTAAATAAAAAACTAAACAAAATTTGCTCGTGTTTTATCTTTTAAATACGTCTAAATGGCGCCAGGGTAAATAACTAAGGCCCCTATTATGAGTTGCATTCGATTTTCGACTGTGGTCGAAAGTGCTGAGCGAACGAATTTGCATTTGGTATTATGGCACTCATTCGATGAAGAATAGCGCTATTGTGAATTTCGCTCGTTTAGGTTGTTCACAATAGTATATTTTTCACCGCTGAGAAGCTTTGTTTACAAATCGAGCAAACTAAATAGTGTGCTTATACATATTTATGTAAATTTGTTCTAATTAAAATGAAGTAAAAAAGAAAGCAAGTTTATAAAAACGTGGTAAAATGAGTACAACGAGTTCTGGTTCAACGATTCGTCAGAGGATGAGAGCTTAGTAAACTGGCCAGGAGTAGCAAATGTTTAAGAGAGTTTAAGTTTATTAGTCTTTCGAATATATTTTGATATAAAATATATTTAAGAAATTTGTCTACAGATTCATTAAAAAGTTCCGACCATCTAAAGAGGCGTTTGTGAGCCAAATCTATTTAAAATATTTTAAAACTATCAACAGCGCTACGATTTTGTTCTCAGAGATCGTGCCAACAGAGTATTGAGATTTTCTTTCACAAGTAAAACCAGCCTTTCGAGCTTGTGTTTAGTATTCAAGATGTTAGAACTGCATGAAATTAATAAAAATTGTTTAAAATTAATGTCTAGCCGCCAAAATGTAAGAAAACATATACAAAATCATACATTTTTCACAATTTTCTAACACTTCGCTACACCATCGAAAGCAAAATTCTGTTCGACAGAAAATTCGATACTCAACGAAAATTTCGACACGCTTGCATAGCTCATAATACGAATTTCACTTTCGATCTTCGATAGCCAGCGAAGATCGAAAATCGAATGCAGCTCATAATAAGGGCCTAAGATGAAAAATATATGTATCGGTCATTCCACTTCTTGAAATTGGGTTGGAATCTTATAGGGAATTTGCATGAGGCGATTTTTAGTTGAAAGCAACAATTGCCTGGTGTAAACGGCCTTTCAACTAATCGCTTTCAATGAAGTTGGTCGGCTGCCTACTTTCGTTCAACTTTTGGTTCAACTAATCGCCTGTGAAAGTTGAATAATGTAAATTCCCTAATACAAACGTATTGCAGAAGGATGGCTCGGTTTTCATGAATAGGTAGAGTTTTCTGAACATATTTATGAGTCGATTATCGATAGCAATCGAACTTCTGTTGCGTTGCTAGTTGCCAAAACGATATTACAGATCGCAACTGGCAACTGACAACTGGGAATGTTTTAGGAACGTATTTAGAAGCGAAAATTGAAAAGTGGCATATATAACTTTAATGATTTGAACGATATCAACATTTTGCAATGCTTTTACATAATATGGTGAAAATAACCAAACAACTTGAAATTTCAGTTCCCGTGGAGTACGCCTTTTTGGCGAAACAAAAGCGAACACTGATTGCAAATTTTTTCCTTTATCAACTGAAGCACCTCTTTAAAACTACCGATACATCAAGTTTTCCGAATTAAAGTCATTGCTGTGACACTTCCTTCTGCGAAAAAGCGAAGAGCCGCGCAAGCTTTTATGAGCGAAGGTATTGAAGTTGAACGAAGTTGGGTCATTTGTATATTAACCAATTATACTACAGCTTCTTTTGGAAGTCCTCAATATGCTTTGAAAACGATAAAAGAAAAACCTTGAAGGCATTAACTTTTGCTTACAGTGCACGCGGTAGCTCCAGAGCATTGAAATTATCCTTAAAAAACGTAAGGCCGCACTAAGCGACGCGACACTGCAGCGGCACGGCGCGACACTTTTTGGTATATCGCACTGAAACTGCAGAGGCGCGACACTTAGCTGCAAATTTTTTAATTTATTTGTATCAAAACCTTCATACAAGATGGATGCCAGTGACGCTGACGTAATGTTAATGCCTTTTATTTTCCTTGGCGAATTCTTCTCAAATATTATGTTTCTTTACATACAATTTTCTTGAATGAAATGCATTTGAATATGCACTCACAATTGGAAGTCCAATTACTTCAAGTTAAAAATATAGTACGGAATGTTATGTCGTTCCGCTGGGTATACCGAACTATGCGGTACCGGAACTCCGCGACACCACGCGGCTCGACATTTTTGCCTAGTTGATCAACTTTGCCTCGCAGCGTAGTGCGGTATGCTCCATAAGAATACATGCCAAGAATATTTTGCCGCGCTGTGTAGTGTCGTGTCGCGTCGCCTAGTGCGGTCGTACCTTTAATTGTCGTCTGATTGAGGCCGGGTTCATGCACTTCTCTTCCTCTTACGCTACGCGCACACTGCAGCCGGTATCGGCCGAATTGTGCTCGGCTCTGCTGAGTAGACGAACGACCTATCTAATACCATGTTCTGAACGACATCGAAAACATGCTTTCGTTGCTAAAACTGATTTTCGACTTAAAACTTTTTTCGTACGTTTTAAATTTTACAGTTTTGAATGTAAACAAAAATTATATCAGCTGTTCGTCTAACTTGCAAGTTTCTGCAAATTTTCTGTTCGCGTACTATTTTGGATATTTTCCTCCTGTGAGAGAACAGATGACATTTTGCCGAAATTTTGGCACTTTAAAATGTGACGATTTTTTTAATTGTTACAAAGCTGTAAAACAAGGTGGTGCTGGTCGCTTGATTTTTTCGCCGTGACCAACATTGCGTCAAAATGTTGTGTTTGTTGTAATGCATACCAATGACAGTATGAATATCTGCGTGTTAAATACATACGCCTTGGTACAAGCTACGAGGTTTATGAATTTTGTTGTAGCGTGAACTTTATTTTTTAACCGACATCACAAAAAGGAGAAATATTTTCTTTATGTATGTTACCGCATAACTTTGGACCACATTAACCGGTTTCGATAATCCTTTTTAAAGAAAAGTTCTTCTTCACAGGTGGTCCCATATTAATTTGGTTTAAATCCGATCAACGGATCATAAAGAAGTTAACGATAATCTTAAATTTTTATATGAAAAATGAAGTCGGGTTTGCTTTTTGCTTGATAATTACTTGTTTTAAATTAATAAAACTTAAATAAAACAAAATATATTCGAGAAATGGAAAAAAATCTACTGTACGTTTTCACTGACACACGCCGTGCGTATTTGTATAATGGAAAAATATTATAATACTATTAAATATGAAGTAATGTATGTAAGTTTTAATTCAATGCTGTACTCCATACGTTACTGCAAGCTGGGCAATTAGAATTACGTTTCAAAAAAGTCCTTATACACTCTTTATGAACTTTGGCTCCGCACCCCGAGCATTTTATATCCTGCAGATGTATTTAATTAATAAATATCCTTTCTGTACAATGTTTTATATTTTCTTACCCATAACACAATTTTTTTGCAAAGAGGGCAGTCTTTGATGTAGTCCGAGTAATGAGTCTTCAAATGACTGGCATATTCCACTAACATACGCGGCCCAAAATATATTTTATCATCCATTTCTAAAAAATAGCCCTGATCAGTCCACTTTTTTACTAGAAATTGAATTCGAGTCTTTGGCAAATGCTTCCGTGCAGTAGGGGTTAAACTCGAGAGATTGTACATATCTACCCAAGAAATACTATAATCTTCTTGAGGAGCCATTATTTCTACTAATTTAGCAAAATACATCTGATCCGCTTCAGTATAATGTTGCTGATGCTTGCTGGCTAGCGTTTCGAAGGTAAGACCAAAAACCAAAAACTCTTTATCCAGCAGCGGGTGTTTTATAAAACTTAATTCCTGATTTAGCTCTTTCAAATCATTATTTATTTCTAGTACCAATTTTTTGACATCCAGAGCGTCGTCCGCATCATCTGTTACAAAACACTTTAAAGAAAGCAAATGGGACTTTTGTTTTTGAATACAAACATGTTTGGCAAATTGGCGGTAAAACATCATTGATTTGCTCCGTGCTTAGGCTACCATGATTAATACACGCTTGCAAAAAAGCTTTCTTTACTCCATCCCGCATTCCGAAAAAATATAATATGTGGGTACACGCAATCTTCAAAAAAATTTATTATTTGGCTAAACTGTACGGCAAATAGGGATAAAAGGATACTAGTAAATGCAAGTACATACTCGATACTTTTCGTCCGATACCAAGTAATTTTAGTATCGATACTTTTGAACCGAGTACTGATTAGGTATCGGAAGAAAGTACTTATATCGAAACCCGATTCAGTGAAAATTTTATTTCCGGACTTTTTTAATCGAATTATTATTGTGAATATCTAAAAATGTTTGGCAGTTTAGTTGCCAATGAAAAATTCCGACAAGGAAAGACCTATAATCATCTCACTAACATATCGCTAGCTTGAAGCGAAAAGTTGCTAAGTCCACTTTTTGTGAAAACTCATATTTGGATATAGGAAGCAAGGTAAATTAAAAACGCAACGTCTTCAAGTTTATATTCAATTAAAGGCAAATTTACTAAGTCCAAAAGAGGCACAGAAAAACGATAAGCTCACAAAAAAATCTAAATCTTTAAATTAGCAACGGAGCCTTCTGCAAAATTATTGAAGGAAATGTTTTGAAAAGTTTTTTCCCTACCCTTTTAATTTTCTACACATGTACTTAGCAGCTTTTCATTCTAAAAATTATCAACATGATTAAATCTTTCAGAAATATACCATTGTTACTTTGCAGAAGTGCTGTTGAACAGTGTTATGATACAGATGACTTTTATTAATTAATTCGGGTACGGTTTAGTACGTTGCCGATCTATTTCGAGGTATTGCGTCCAAAGGGGTGGCCCGATCAAAAAAAAAAAAAAAATTGCACACACTTGTAGCAAAGGGTCTAAACATTATTTTAGCACCCAATTTTGTAATTTTTGGTCACTAATTTATTTACAAATTGGGTTAGAAATATGCCCTTTTTTGTAAAATTCGGAAATTAGCGTTAATTTATCACTCGTATTCTCCTTAAAGCAGCCACTTCAGCAATATATTTTTCTTTTCTTCTTAACTTTACACTTTACTCGATGAGTTATAACTTTCTTTATGACTTTAATATTAACCAATTAATCACAATTTATTAAATAAAAACACCTTCTAAATCATGCATCTGACTTTGGTTGCATATGCAAATTAAACATGAACGAAAGACACAAGATCACGCCTTCCCGAAAGAAAGAAAAAAGTTATTTTCTAGCTGTTGAAATCTCGACGCCATCTTTGTTGTAAGAAGTAAACAACGAAGAGAACGCAAAAACCGCGTAATTGTTGAACGCATGAATAATCATTTTTATTATGCAAATTCTTCTATAAATCATGGCGTTGTGTTAAATTATTCCTTACCTTACGTGAACACACGTTGTCACAAGCGGAAATTAAGAAAATTGCAGTAAAAAGCCACCACCAAATTGTAAACAACGAACAAATGTAAACAAACGGCTAATGTCAAAGTCGCCCAACTTTTTTCCTAAATGCGATTATAACGGGCTACTAAGAAGAAGGCGTGATCTTGTATTTTTGGTTCATGCAAATTAAATGGCGGAGTTCAGCTGTCAAACTCCAAAATATGCAAAATAATGAGAGACAAAAATAAAATAGGATATAAACCAGTAAGCATTAAAAATATACAAAGGTGTTCTCTGCAAAAGGTGTTCAGCCCCCCTTCTTTGGCAACACCCCTGCAAAAATCTCGACTACATGCATGCGTGTAAAGAGTACTCCCAAAGGAGCAAGTAGTACTACAAAATTAACCACAATTCATATAAAAAAAATGGTCCAATTAACATTGCGATGTCCTAGCGCAGGACCATATACTCCATCCCTGCATTACAAAAGACTGGCACAAAACTACTCCAACATATTAACAATGGCATTGTTGTTATATTTTTTCGTTTGTACCCGCTTTTGTTCTTCACTTCTCAGATGATTTTTGGAAATTAATAAAAACTAAAAACAAAAACTGAAAACTACATGTTGCCTCTGAAGGCATTCGAACCTGAACATGCTGGGAGCTAACAACTAACAGCGAACATCTCTACACGTTCAGCCACAGCCAGACATGCAAATTTGCTTTCAAATGCTTTCGTTAAAACACGAGCAGTGATCGGATAGCAATAAGCTGGTGCAGCGACACGAGTTGGTCCGCTCCCGCATGACAGAGGAGCACTTTGTAGGTACTCCAATAAGCCACAAATAGACTACATGGTCCTACGATTTTTGCAGGGACAGAAAGGAGAATTCTACTGCCTGAGGGTTATAATCCCTAAGTGCGGCCGAAAGCCGCCTACGCAGAAAGGTCTTCTCTGCGAAAGGTGTTCAGCCCCCCTTTTTTCGCCTGATAACCACCTTGGGATAACTTCTTTTATTTAAAAACCCCACAGATTCTGTTAGTTGGGTTATATTCCACTTCAAACTGCTCAATTTCCCTCGGTAAATGCTGTTTTTCGCCCATTTTCAAACGGTTCCCTAGGGGTCTGTGGGAGGCTCCGAAGGGGGGATTCGACTTTTCGTAAAGTGGAGGCTGTCCCCTTTGGAATAAGGGGGTTTAGGGGCCACGCTCCTCCCCTTCCGCCCAAATCCCAAAAACGACCTGCAAATTTCTTTTGTATGAAATAAATTATAAAATAATTGTTTTTGATCTCAATCGGTTTCTCTTCGTACATACAAAATAAATAATAAGTATAACAAATAAAACACGTACATACATACAAACGAAGATAATTCTGCTAAAAGAATTCTGGGGACTTTTTAAAAACATCGTATTGGGCCTTTTTTCTTGTTTTCTGGGAGGCCGTCCTAGTAAACCATGTTTTAAAACTTAAAGTTGTTCTTAAAAAGATTAAGTAGCATTCGCCTAAAATCAAAAATTATAGTCACATAAGTTATTTTGACAAAAATTCATAGATATGTGATGGCGTTTTTTATACAAACAATTCTTAATAGGTACAAATATCGATATAAGTAGGTATCGATACTTTTAGCTCGATACTTTCTTTCGATGTACTTCCAAGTACAGGTATCGATACTTCCATGACATCGTTTTATCCCTAATAGGGCATTCGCACGCGGCGATTTTACAGGCAAGAAAAGTTGAATGAGAAGTTGAAAGTGAAAATACGAATTGTTATTTACAGGGAACGGATTTTAGGACCTAAAAACCTATAAAAAAGGCAAACTAAAATAACGAAATAGGCTGGAAAAGGCAAATAAAATAGCGAAAAAGGCAGGAAAAGGCACTAGGTATTGCAAAAAAAGCAAAATAGGAAACTAAAAAAAGACAGAAAATACGATGAACAATAAAAAAATACATTTATTTTAGAAATGTTTATATTACAAGTAAAAAGAGAAAAACTATGAGTTAGTTTCATTATATGAAAAATTTGTACTTTGAATCTTTGACTATTTTATCCTATCGAGTTTCTAACTCATAAAACTTTAATCTGTATAGTTGTAGTAACATTGAACCACAAGATGCATTTTGCCGTTTTCTGGCAGCATTTTCATTCGATTTTCGCGAAGAAAAGCCTTGAATGTACTAAATGTGCGCTCTACATAAGTTGATACAAGTGGAGCCCAATTTAAATATGGAACGTTGGAAACGTTCATATTATCAGGAATAAGGGCGTTTTCCTCGCCCTTTACAATTTTATCCACACCCCTTATTGTCTCCAAGCCTACGTTAGCTGAGAAAACGGCTTTCCAACACCAATTTGGCGCTTCTATAAGCCGCATGGGCATGTGTATATTTTTTCATCTTTAAAAAAATATTGTAAATGCTATAATCACTTTTTTAAAGGTAGAAAAGGCAAATATCTTAAAAGAGGCAAAAAAAGGGCAAATATCTTAAAAAAGGCAAAAAAGGCAACATCAAATGTGTATATATGGAATCAGGGAAAGCTAAATCGTGGACATTCTTAATCGAATATACTCTATCTCTTTAGCAGAAAAAAGGAAATTTCTATAAAATCCGTTCGCTGGTTATTTACATTATTGAAAATGGATTTAAATCGCAAAATTTTATCAAATGGCGTTGGTAGAAGTGCTTTTAGCGAAGCTGAAAGATAAAATAAAAGTAAAAAAGAAAAAAGTATGTATACACAATGTAAACAAACACAGGGTTGCAAGGAAAAAAAGGTGAACCAGCTCAAAGTTGGCTGGCGACCAACTTTGTTGAAAGCGATTAGTTGAAAGTGCCGTTCGGACGAGGCGATTTTTGCTTTCAACTAAAAGTTGCATAAAAAATCGCCGCGTGCAAAAGCCCTATAACGGCAAAGTACACAAAACAACTAGTACTCAATACCGCAAGGAATGCAAATAATAGGTTCGTTCGCGTAGCTGTTAATTTGGGGTGTTCACAGTTCGTTCCAAATTGTGTCTGAAAATGTAGACGTCTACATTTTGAGACATTTTTAGCATCAAACTGTGAGCACCCCTTTCTAGCAGTCGTCGCAAAATCGTCTCAAAACTTTGCTGGTGTTGCCAGACATTTCTTGTTTGCGTGCATTGTTTATATGTCGCCTATCGATTTTGTTTCTGAAAAATTGTAATTATTTAACTTAATTACCAATTCGTAATATTTGTTATTCCTTTTCCTTGATTTGTTTCTTTTCATCAGAAATTGCGCTCAAATTAAATGCAAATACGGAAAACGTGCCCAATAAATAAAAAAAATGTGATTAGTATTGCCATAATGCAACCCTGCTGCGAGGTTGCAAAATGTAGACGCGTAAAAAACATACCTTTGAGTGTGACAAAATGTAGACGGCGTCGTTTTCCAATTTTGTATGGGAAACAACAACACCACAGATTTTACGGTTAGAAAACGTCTTAAAATGTAGACGTCTACATTTTGAGACACTATTTGGAACGAACTGTGAACACCCCAATTGTTCATGTTTAACCAAAACTTACAAGTTTTTGCGTTCGCGTACGCAAAAAACTTGCAAAGTAGGGGAAATTGAGAGAGCAAACTGACATTTCATTTTGAGGGGAAGCTGTTGGTTTCTGCTGGAAAAATGTTTGCCAACAGCAATTTGCCAACAGGAAAACAGCTGATCAAAAACAGCTGGTTGGCATTTACGCAAATCACAAAATTGAATTTGATGGTTTGGAAGATAAAAATTACAAAATGCGACTAATTAAACTTGTAAGAAATAAGTAGTTATTTGTTTAATCAATAAAATGTGTCAGTATCATGATACAAAAAAGAAGGTAGTTTCAATAAACAACTTTTGACGGATAATAAAATTTTTTGAAGTTTCATAAATTGTCAGTATTATCAACGGCCTTGCCACTTTGATAATATTAAAACAATACATCGGAGTATTTTCTTTCCCATATTTTTACCAATGTGAGAATATTTCAAATCAAAACTCACAATCAGTACTTGATATTTTTTTACTTACGTGGTTTGCCCCTCTTTTATTAAAAATATATAAAATGTAAACTGTTACATTGTAATTATTCTTTTTATTTTATAATAAAAACCATTAGTGCATTATGTTGTTATTTTTTTCATTTTCTTATTTTGATATACAATTTTCGTTTCTTTAATCTTGCGATTTAAAAATCGAATTCTAAAGAATGTTCTTCCCAAATAAAATCTTTTTATAATATTTTGGTCCAAATTTACTTTTAAATTTCTCATCAGATTTTGAAAAAATTTTGGCTTTGTGGTTAGCGAATCACCATTAATTTCAACAAATTTTGAATTCAAAATTTCCAATGTATGCAAAAAACTTGAATTAGGTTTGTACAGACTCGATTAGGTGCGTTCGTTTAAAATCTCCAGCAGAAACCAACCAACTGCCAAATTCCGGCGAAATGTCATCTGTTCTCTCACAAGAGAGAAATATCCAAAATAGTACGCGAACAGAAAATTTGCAGAAACTTGCAAGTTAGACGAACAGCTGATATAATTTTAATTTAAATTAAACGAATTCTACGCAAAACTACTGTGGACGCAAGTGAAAATTGTGATTTTTGGCGATTTTTCTAAGGGGTCCCTGGGACCCATAGGGCGCCTAGGTGGGGGTTGGAGGTGCCACGCCCACTCCCCCTTCGCTCACCGCCTCTTCAATGACCGCCCTTATACGCACGTATTATTTGCAAATAAACGCTGAGTTATTTTCCTAGTGGGAGGAAATTAGCCTATGGTTACAGAAGATATGTAATAAAGTAACCGACGAAGACTTGCGTGCCGCTTGCGCTTTTCTCCCAAACCCCCTGGTAAACCCAAATGAGGGTTAAATTTAAAAACTATACAATAACGACTTTTTTTACTTGCGCTTTTCTCTCAAAGTGTTTATCGCCGGTAAATTGAATCTCATATCGACCTTCGCAGGAAGGGAAACACACTCATTTCGGACTCTTAAATGAGCTCATTATGAGCATTGCTGTGTTGCTCGAGCACAATTTCCACCTAATATGGCTACCTTGACATGATCAATCTTTTTCCAAGTACTGCAGCCTCTGCTTCGTTAATCCTGGACCCTCAACATTGGGCATATCCATACTTGGTTTGACAAGTTACTTCATTTTAGACCATATTGTTTATACTGGATTTAGCATAGGCGAAAATGGTCACAAACGAAGATACAACTTAGTCTTCTGAACATAAATTGGAGATTTCTGACTTTTAAATGAAAATTTTCTGAACTTGAATTGTAACTTTCTGAATTTGAATTGTAACTTTCTGAATTTGAATTGTAACTTTCTAAATTTGAAATGAAGGCTTCTGAATTTGAAATGGAAACTCTGAATTTGAAATGTAACTTTCTGAATTAGAATTGCAACTTTCTGAATTTAAAATGAAAATTTTGAATTTGAATTGCAACTTTCTGAATTTGAAGTGAAAATTCTGAATTTGAAATGAAAATTCTGAATTTGAATTGCAAATTTGTGAATGTAAAATGGAAATTCTGAATTTAAAATGTAACTTTCTGAATAAGAATTGCAACTTTCCGATTTTAAAACGGAAATTCCGACTTTGAATTGCAACTTTCTGAATTTGAAAAGAAAATTCTGAATTTGAGATGGACATTCTGAACTTGAATTGTAACTATCTGAATTTGAAATGGAATTTCTGAATATGAATTGCAGCTTTATGAACTAAAACTGAAAAAGGAGTAGTAGGTCTGAAATTTAGAAAAAGCAATTGCTTAGTTTTTATTCATAAGGTCTAATGCAGCGTTGGACAGAGAGAGCTTTTACTCTGCTCGCGCCTATACAAAATGTATCGAAAGCTTAAAAGAGCTTTGCCCGGGGGCAAGGCAGTGCCCATAATCGGCATAATGTCATGTTGTTCTCTCAATTTCCCTACTTTGGATTTGGGAAGGAACGCAAACGCTGTGATAGTTTTCTACAATTTTAGATGACTTTGTAAACGAGACCACTCCTTGTATCAGGTAACGCAAAATTATTGAGCACGCAGAAGAAAACTAAAAGTAAACCCTTAACCCCAGATCTGTTAGCAGGCAGGCCGTCAGATCCACCAGTTTTGTTGTTTTTCTGACGCGAATTTGCTATTCGTACCTCGTCATAAATGCGCGGTGCGACATCGATTCCTTCGTCACCGCCTTGAGCTCCGGCTTCATCTTCAGTACTGGTTTCGTTGCTGTTATTATTCAACAGGATAAGAATTTGTGTAATTTAGGTGCACACATGCGTATGTTCTGGACATTGCCCTTGGTCAAACTTTCCATTAGACATTTGGTCCATCATGTTAGGCTCTTTGCAATCGAGTACGTATTTCGACCACTCTCTTCTCATTGCGGCAAGGAGAATCCGATGGCAAAGCCGACAGAATTGCGTTAACACTGGGCAAATTCTTCGACTGGAAGCATGTATCTTGCTACTGGAAATAATCGTGATTTAATGCCTGTAAAACGTAAAATGATATGTGATAACATCTGTATGTATGTTTAGTCCCTTTGTCGTTATAATAAAAATAGTAAGTAAATTTTTTTCGGAAAGATGTTGCTTAGAACCTTTTGTGCGTGTTCTATTTACATACGTACCTCAGAGGCAGTCAGCCGATTCTTCGGGTTGTAAACAACCAGATTCGAAACCAAGTTGATTTCAACCGCTTGCGTACAGCTAGGAAATAGGTTATCCCAGTGAACTCCTATTGCATTTGGAAAGCTTAAATAAAATAAATATGTAGATTTGAAATTTTATTATATACTATACAATAAGTAGGCTCATTCAATATATAAAAGCTAATTATGTACTTATGGGTATTTCCATGATAAAAAACATTAGAAGGCAAAATCATGCTCTCAATTCGTCGGCCATGATTTTTTTCTGACGTTTGCGAACATTTTAAAATCATATAAAATTGAAAATAAAAAAATTAAATTGTTGTTTGAGATTAAAAATGAGAATGTGTGTGTGAGCTGAGTTCGAATTTTAAAATGATATTGTTGACAAACGTCAGACTGCCCCTCAACGGTTTTACCTTGTTATGTTTTTACATGGGTATTTCCATTACGTGACACTTGTATGAAAAAATGTTAAAAATAAAATTGAAAGTCAAAATTTTAAAAAGGTTTCTCTAGATAGCAATTAAATGGCCCCTTATTCAGTAAAAAAAAATACAACTGTTGGTAGTACCAGAGAATGTTAATGTAATTAAATTAACATTCTCTGATAAAACGATACCATGGAATGGATACCTGTACTTGGGAGTAGCATCAAAATAAAGTATCGATACCAACTAAGTATCGGGCTGAAAGTATCGATACCTACTTATATCGATATTTGTATATGTATAAGACTGGTTTATGAATATCGATGAATTTTTGTCAAAATACCTTATGTGACGATCATTTTGACGTAGAGTACGTCTTACGTTTCGATATGGAG